CCTCAATGTGGCGCTCACGGCCCACAATTGGGCCACGGCCCATGGGTTAAGAATCTCTGCTCTAAACCATGTCAGTTCATTTGTGCTTTAAGGGCTGGGGGATTTGTTCAAACACCTTTACATATTTAGATTTGCATTTTAAATGTATTGACAATACTAATAATTTTAAAGGAAACACATTTATCTTTTTCTTTAGAAATTAGGTACATGGTCTAAAATTAATGCCACGTCTACTTTAAAAATGTAAACTTTTCAAACCGAACACACATCAGCTCCTGCAGTTCCTTTTAATTAAAGTGAATTAGTCTGAGATGAGCACATAAAGTTTCATTTCTACAAACATTTAGACAATTATAGAATGAATGGTATTCGTTGATTGTTTGCAAAACATCTCATTTGCGAACAAGTTGCATTGATACGTGTACTTTGTTTTCCATTTTTGGCTTACACTTAAAGGGTATAACACACATGGTCAAAAATATATTCCCATAATAAAACTTAATCAAAAGAATTAGGACAAAATAACAGGAGTAATTATCTGTTTGGTGGGGAAAAAAAGAGCTTCAGTATAAACTCATTATACTATCTGAGATGTGTGTGGATGTATGAAGTGCAGCAGTTTGCTGTCTCCTGTATCCATATTTCAGATGCTCAATGATGCTGTTGCTGCGTAATGTTTGATCTGAGCTCGTTGTTGAAAGAATCCATTCCTTCTTTGTYGTCACGGCAAAGATACGCACCTGGCGGGCCACATGGGAAAAGGGGCCGAGCCACTTCTCAGGCAGCAGCTCAGTAAAAATAAACGCCTGAATAAATGTCTTCTGGGGGTTTTCGGCTGCATGTGATGGAGGTGGCTACGAGGCATTGTTCATTTTGCAGTGTGAAAAGCAGTTTTACTCACACATAAACAAGGTGACCACTTTTTTCTAACTGTATCTCTGTGTGTTGGTGTCTGACGTTCTACGGTATTGATCTTTCTTTATTTCCTTAAAAATGACAAACATAAAAATAGTTTGAAATATGCATAAGTGTTTTTGGAAGAGGAYTAGGGCCGTCAGAATTCAGTCAGAATTCTGAGAAAAAAGTGGGAATTTTGAAATTAAAGTCAGAATACATTTTTTTTTCTAAGTGGCCCTAATCTTCTTCCATAAGTGTATCATTGTCTTGTTGGGATTTCTTTATATTATTTTACAGTTTTGCAATAGATCTTCATTTAGTTGAGGTGGAGATCTGAAATATGGATTTGTTTTGTCATTATCTCTCATTCTTTTATAATAAAAGTAAGAAATAAGAAAATAAAATTCAAGCTAAAAAATAGACAGACATTTTAGTAACAGTGAGCAAGACCTTTGCTGGTTTTTTATAAAATTTAAAACATGAAAAAAGAAGCAGTGAAAGGAAGGTGAATGATCATCACATGGGGCATTTCAACTCTACATTATCGTAGCCACATAAATGTAAAATGTGAAATTACCTTCTGGTGTAACATGACCTACATGGGGAGACTCGATTATTACCTCTGCACTCCTTAAATCTGTCTCCTGCTTATGGCTGCTCATTGGGAAACTGGGAGTATGTCATTGTGACAGTGTGATGGATAAAAATCCTAAAAAAAAGACATTTTTCTTTTCTTCCTAACATTTGTAGTTTCTAACTGTAAATTGAAGAAGAACATATTTAAAGTATCAATATATTTTGCTTGCATAAAAAAACTTGTGGCAGAGAGGTGCACGATGGAAATCTCCAGTGATTGTTTTAGGTGTTGTGTTTGTAAACCTGGCTCCGTTCAGAGGATGACATTGAACTCAGATTCTGCAGTAGATTTTCAGACTAACACAGATAAATGTACTAGGTCAGTAATATGGATGGAAACTCAGTGCTAACTATTCAATGCCCGGGATGCATTAATTTAAAAAAAGTGACACTTTCTGGATTTATACCATCTGAAAGTTTTCAACAAAACCAAGAATGATTACCGAGCGGGTGAAGAGGTGGTCCTCACTCCACGCGTGGAATATAAAARCCATTTGGAGGCCTGATTAGGATGCCTCCACAATTTCTTGCAGTTAGAAGTATTCCAGACATGTCTGAGGAGGAAGGAAACTGTGGTCAGAATGAGAACATGCTGGAGCTATTATTTGCTTCTTGTGTCTTGGCTGGATAAAAATTAGATCAACCTGGAGGACAGAACTGACAAAATGGATCCCTCGGCTACTTTTCATTGCTGTCAATCAGTCGTCGCCTTGAGACTCACATGAATATGGACACAAGATATAAAAGATGACCCAAATATATAT